ACAAGAAGACCATCAAAACATAATGTTAATTTGGTCCAAAATTAATAAACAAATCAATAGAAAATTAATAAAAACAATTGAAAAGTAAAATATAAAATTATGCAAAATGCAGGAACAAGACATCATGTACATACATGTGGCATATACCAACGTTACGTGTTGAAGGACGGAGTCAATAAACTGCTAACATATTTTGATAAGATTAACTTGTAGGTAAATATGAACAAGATGAAAGCTACATAAGATAAATATAAAGTGATCTAAATAATGGTGAAAAAAAATAAAAAAAAAATAATGATGAATAAACATCATCGCATCATGGCTTTGACGATATCCATGCATGATTTCATAAACCACATTATGCAGCTATAGTTTTGATACAATGTTATACAATGAAATACATTAGATCTCATTAGAATAATCTAATCTAATCTAGCGGTGAATTATTTTTTTTGTAGTCAGTTTAAATTAAATTCATTTGCATTTGTTTTATATCAACATTTTTTTCTTCATGCAACATCAGTTCAATTTTCTGCTTCGTTTGACGATGGAAACATATACAACACTACTGATATATTTATTCATTATAAACAGGTTTAAGCTTTGGACGCAGTCTTGCAATTCGGTTAAGGTTCATGGCTCATAACTGATGGTTAAGCTCTGACAGTTTTGTGTATTATTATTCACCATGACAACTATGTTCAGATTAATACCATAATACCCCATTATTATGTACACAAAATGCAATAAATTATACATGCATTGTATGTAAGTCATTAATCTTAGAGATAATAATGTTTCTAACCTGAAATTTATTACTATATTTGGGGAAAACAAAAAAAGAAAGGACAGCATTAATTTAATGTGCTCATCTTGTATCAAGCATCTGAAGTTCGCAAAGAAACAATGTTACAATTTTACACACATTTTATATTTTACATGGAACCCATATTGTAAAGCACGATGATTGTCCTTCACCTTTTCGCATAATACCATATATTCAATTTATTCTACAGACAAGTATCGTATTTGCTCTATTAAAAGCGCATCCAGAAAAGCGGTAAATGTTAGCATTTCAAATGTAAGCGCACAAAAACTCAAAATTGTATTTATTTTATACTGGAGCAATCAAACGTGCTTTATTTTGATAAAAGTTTTGTTCCAATTCCACTCACAAAAACATCTGGTTATTCTACTGATTTAACCCACTGAATATTTTCCTGCCAAAAATGTTATGTATTACTATTTTGTGTACTTTTCTAATTTATTTGTTAAATATTTAAACATATTGCCTGCTGCTGACATCCCTTTGTTTCATTTCCCTTAAATTTTGGTATGTCTGTGAAAGTTTTCTGCAAAAATACTTTCATTATGCCTCCAGCACAGCAAATATGTAAGTTGAGCTCCCAGGAAAAATGAGAAACAAGGTTGCTTTTCAATCTATGGTTAGGAATAGTAAATATTTTAAATATTGCAATTACCGGTATATGATTATATATCATATTGTATTACATCAGATAATTTCTCTCAATTGGAATTAATGACTTTGCAAAAAAAAAAATCACTATTCATGATTATGATTATGAATGAATTTACGTTTGAAACAACAGTAAAGGTTCTTAAAAACAAAGATTTTAGTAATGGATTCTATATGAATGACACTAATGTAGTGTTCTACTTGAAAATAATACACTTTATATAACATCAATCAGACCATCAGAGCATATTTCCTGTATTACATGTGCTTTTATTAAATTGTGGATGTACCGTACATAAGGTACTTTTTAGTGATGAACTGATCTTTCAACTCTTCACTGCCAGTTTCAACTTTTGTAACCTTCCACCAAAATAGTTCACCTGAAAAATCTATCTTTCCAAAATGTTGGTCAAATTCTGAGTTTATAACGGTAATTCCAGAGACGAAAATGAAGAAAAACAGCAAATATTGGAGTAATATTGTGTGAGAACAACTTTCAGTAAATGTTCTCATCCAAGGTTTGAATCTTTTTTTCTAATTTGTCTGATATAGGTGAAACCCTTGAACTGCAAAACAGATAGTCAATTCAAGTGACAATTATGGCTTTTATTAGGAAAAATATCTTTCACATATTTTTTTACAATTTCCGTAAGGATATATTGTATTTCTGTACAGAAGATCTCTTCACTAATAATGTTTTGAGTGTCAAACTGACGCTGCTATCACCTTTCACAAAATATTACATATAACCGAAAAAAAAACGTTTTTCATATTAAAATATAATCTTGATTAAAACCTTTAAGCAATAACAAATTAAGTCATTTGGTCTAAAATATAAAAAAAAAGTAAATAATTTGGCAAAAAATGAAGTAGGGCTTGGAATCATGACATTCAAATTGTTAAATACAAGATTTTACAAGCACTAAACAACTCAGCATCATCTCAGGTCTGTTTTCAAGTCTGTGTACCCAAATAATTATCTAGACTGACGAATGTATTGATTAATAACTTGTGACAGGAACAAAGTGTTATGAATGGCAAGTAATAGCTCCTTGTAATCAGGAGTCTTCTTAGAAATATGTATACAAACACAGAGTATAGCACTATCATAATTGATATTATTGTCCAATAAAAAATAAATATTCTAAAATTTACTCTTTTCTTCTTTTGATAATGATGTTTGAAGATAATTTATTATTTGAAACAATACAATATAGCTCAAGTTCAATGCTGTAACTGCTTTAAATTTTTATAACTTCCAAGTTGGGTTTACCCTAAAATCGGATTATATTGATGCAGCTTCTCACTGTTTATCCGAAACACACTATTGATGGACAGGAAGCGGTTACCAAGCAACTAGTTTTGCCGAGGGGAAAGAATACTATGTTACATTCGCAATGAAGATGGCGTGTTTTACGTCAACAAATTCCTCGTAAAAAAGAAAACAAAATAAATTTATATCAAGGGGAAATAGTTTGTTATTTGATACGATATGAGATTGTTCTCAACTGTTGTTTTATCGTCACATTGAGGTCTATGCGTCGATACACTCAATGACTTACCCTCATTTCAACAGTCGACCGACTTGTCTGCGTCTCCGCCTCAATGCTTATCGTACCCCGCCTGTCTCTCCGTCCGAGTATGGCTGGACCCGCCGCTGTGCTGGACGGTCCCGCCTCTGTAATGTCCGTACTCCGAATTAAATGTGTGTGTTGTTGTTGATGCGAAAACGACGAAGGTCGTGGTGAATTCGATTCGTCCGAGTCTCTGCAGTATACAACGCCGCTCTGTGATACATGAATACTCGGCGCACAGCCCATTATTTCCCGCGTTCAGTTTCCTCGCATTCTGAGGCGAGGATGTGTTTACAAGACCAAGACGGACTTGTAAATTATGTACAACGTACTATATATATTCCGATGTGAGAAAATAAAATCCCTCAAAATGTGAAGACACCTACTTCAAGGACGACTTGAGCACATATGCGATTTCCGTAGACGATCAGCCAAAGGATGGGGAGATCGGCTCCGATGAACGAATGCGAGCCGACAAGCCAGCTGATTTCGATGATGAAGACAAGTGCGCGAAGTTTTTTACTTTCTGGGTGTAGAAATCACAGCAACTGTGGTTTTCGTAACAATGAAGATCAATGAACTTAGGTTTTTTTCAGATAAACGAAATTATATCACAGCTAAGTAGTAGTCTTGACAAATCTTGAAAAGCAACGGCCAGCATCGGAAATGATTTCTCACATCGATGCATTGCACACTATATCGCTGCTGATGATGTCAAAGCTCAAATTGACGACTAACCAATCACAATGGCTAACGCTGTCACGTGACGGACACACTGACGTACGTTTTTCCATTGCAATGTAATGGTACATTTTCGTGCACATATGTCGAGTGTGTATGATCTTGGATAATAATGTCATTAATGTATTATATAACCGATTTCACGCATCTCTAGCGCAAATTCTAAATTTTAGTACATTGTTGTGTTCACAAGGATATTAGCTGTATAGTACTTCAATGTCACATCATATATTTTTTTACCACCTCGGGGTCGAAACTATAATCATTTAATACATGAATGCATTAATTATCAGCAGTGATTTCACATTGTGTCGACTCACTATATCGATCTGAATTCATGTTGTCATGGTATTGAATATGTAATGCACTAATATATTCAAATTAATATTGATAAATATTTCTATTTTGCTTGTTTATTTCGTGTAAAGTTTAGAATAGAATAAATATACACTCCAGATAAAATATGACATGTTTATTGGCAATAATGACGTACTTTAAATGCACTAATTAATTACTTGGTTTTAATTTTTCAATTTTCGCCTATAATCGGCTTAATTAAATTCACTTCATATGTAAAATAATAATTAAACTCATTGTTTCCCTGGTAACTTCGCGAATTTTAAAACCACAACAACCAATGAATAATACTTAAGGTTTACGGTATGTGAATATGCTAAAAAAACGAAATAAGTGAAAATAAATGATCTTACAGTATCGGCTAATCATAAGGGTGTTGATGTGACGATGTGAGAGTTTTACAAACTGAGCCGGAGCCAAGCCTGGTCTCATCGTTAACGTTACGGTACGGTACCGTGCCGTAACCGCTTGAGTATAATGTATTGCATCGCTAACATTACGTATTGCCAAATATTTTAACACTAACGCAAATATAGTATTATAATAACTGGTCAGAGTGAAATATAATCAATTATTTGTTTGGAGAATTACAGGTGATTATCTTAAAGCGCTATGGTCGTCGTTCAGCGCGTGTTCGAATTTCATGTAAATAAACAATGTATTTTAAACGCGCTGTACACGTCGCTGTGAGTCCCATGTCGAACAGGACGCAGCGCGACGACTGCCGCCCTTTAAATATAAACACCGGGATTACTAGCGCTAACACTTACGAAGCGTCAACCAACACGGTACATTTCACACATTTTCATTTTTCTTTATAAAATAATTATGTATATATTGCTATCACTCACAGAGAGATTACTTTAAATTCCCTATTTTCTTCCGTTACGTAAGTTCATAACCAGGACTTTCATACCCTGTCGCCGAGGCACATTCAAATAATGTAATCAGTACGTATAGTCTATTTATGGTGTCTGTGTCATCACTACGTCACAGACCCTCTATCACCGATCTTAGAAACGGCTACTGTTTTAGGTGTATTTGTGATTGAGGTACTAATACTACGTTAATAAAATAACAATAAATATTACTGATCGAATTATTTTGATTTTCAGCCTACAAGTGACTAGGCACGTTTGATGCCATCCTCCATGATGCCCCTTTCTCCGATGACAGTTATCTGGGGAGGGGTGCGTCCCCTAAAACTACACATACATCCCACAACGCGATGTAGTAGTGTGTGTTTTTAAAGTCTGTTTACTGTCAAACCACCCGCTGTCCGAGAATTCATCCACATACGGATGTGGGACGAACAGCCCACCGCCACCCAACTACCATGCCAACACCATCGCCACCACTCAGAACATTACCTCGAAAATCTTCGCTGAATTGAAATGTACCATTACAAGTATATACTGGTAGTCACGTCAAATCTGTGATACGTCCTGTACACCTATTTCAGTTTGAGTGGGATTTTGGACAGCAATACAATAAAGTTGAAAAGAAATATATACTAAATTGTATAAATATGACGAAAGAAAGCAAGAAATTTTAATTTTCAAATAATACCAAACATACCCTGTATGTTTACATCGTCAAGAACGGACGCGAGTACCACCAAAACTCGCCTCAGTGTTACTCAGACCGAGCGTATCCTTGTTGCATGGAACAATCAACATTTTCTCCAAATGAGAAAATGGATGCTCCATCGTCTCGAGTGATGTTTCAAATCTTGAAAAATGTGTTTTGTCGACTTTTAAAATGACAAGTAACTTGCTGCTTGTTGTACTAGTATTTCAGACTACAGCGTCAAAAGTGTACCTCTTTCGAGATTACTTTGGGAAAAGACGAAAAATAAATGTTTAATGAAAGTAATGCTCATTCATTTGTTTCTCGTCTGGGGTATGATGAAAGACGAAAACGGAAAGCGCACTGATTCTAGGCCATAGACTATAGGTGATAAATGTGATATTGTTATTGTTAACAAAAAGTGAACGATGACGTCAAATGTCACAGACTCTATCTTTAAATTGAATATTTTTTAAATTTGTATATGATTATGAAAGCTTTCTTGTACCAGATAATTGTGTATGTTTTGTGAATATTTTTTCCATTCTTTTCTCTGTAGGTTTTTATTTTTTTTATTCAGATATTTTTTTCCAATTTCACTCACGGAGTTTCTAATCCCCTAACGAAATATTAACGAAACTATCTTGATTGAGGGCGCTATGTTCCGATCACAGTCCCTCCATGATAGACGATACAAATTCAAGGAATGTGTTGAAAAGATGCTCCTGCGCTGTACATGAAATTGTTTCTGAGCTCTAGAGAATGAATTGCCATGCAAATATATATGAAAATCGAAATGTATCAAACTTAACCCGGTTTGTATACTTTTTAAAGACACGGATGGTGTGCTCGGATCTTCTGTGAATGACATTACACGAAATTACTTGAACTACGCCCTCTAGGTGGATGATATTATAGCGGTTACCTCCCGTATCTCATACTCCGATTCCTCTGAGACATCCAAATATAAACAATGAATATCCCTATTACTACATTTTACAAATTACAATTATGTACTTCTCACAGACGTGATTCTTCTTTTGCTACATGTCGTTTCTCCGCTTTTCGAGAACGCTTTCTGTTGATTTAAAACAAATTCTACAACTGAGTGGAGATTCCATTCCAGGCGGAAGGCTGCGAAGGTAGATCTTTTTCGAGACTCTGTGAATTTAAGAAAAAAACACGGAGCAAACCTTTCCAAATGTAACTCTCATCAGAAGAAGGGACGTTACTTCATCATACCATTCTCATAATTTTGCGCGAAGAGAAAAGAATACGGGAATAACGGTTCTCCGGTAATTTGTGTAGACAAATTAGCACTGATTCTAGGCCATGTAGAGATACGTGACAAAATATGAAACGAAACAGACAGCACCGGGCGAAAAGTGATACAAACAAAAAGTGCGTGACGACGTCAAACAAATGTGTGTGTGTGTGTTTGTTTGTTTTTTAAATTCAGCGCTCTATTAAAATGCTACCTCCATGAAAAGATATATTCAAAAAAACAAACAAATTACTCATATTTTTATTGAATATAATAAAAATACCCTCAAGATTTGGACGTCTCAGACGTCTTACTATACAATATGTCGTAACATACTACGTAGTGGAACTTAGAAGTACGGAATGCCGGGAAGCGAATGTTGTATGGTTATGAAAGCTTTTTTGTGCAAGAAAATATGTATATTTCTATGAATATGTTTCTATCCCTTTCCCCGTAGAATTTATTCAGACTTGTTTTTCTCGAATTTACCATAACGCTTTGGAGGTATTACTGAATCGCCAGTGAGTGGCGCGCTGTTTATAAGCACTGACCGCGGTTACTTTAGTAACCATGCACTGACTAAGTTTAGATTCACAAACTGTGATGAAAACATGTATCGATGTTTTACACTCGGAACAATATATTGCCATAGCATATAAGAAACGAAATGTAAAAGCAAGCAATTTAATTTAAATTGTCTACTTGTTATTTTTCCCCGGACACCCTCTATTTTCTAATTCAATTGACTACCCCTAAATAGCACCAAGGTTGATATCATGAGTCGGATAAATTCCGAGAAATACATTCATGTAAATTCATCATGTAACTCTTTTGGATTGTGATGCTTATGCAATGCTCTTTTTCAAAACCTGTTTACATGTAACGTGAATCATAATATCATAAACGCAATCAGCATAACACTACATTTCTGTCCTTGCCGTTCATAGCCGGAGTCCACGTAAATAAATTTGAAATAAACGAAATTCTTCGCTATCAGGATGTCATGATTATGTTAAAAAGTGAAAAATCAACTAAAACTTTCATTACAGATAAAAAAAAAAAGTTTTATATACAGTACTAGTATATGGGCCACCGTAGAGTGTATAATAAAACCATCCTTCAGTATTTGAGTAAACAAACACCAACACTCAAACACTCAAAATGGCTGCGCCCATGTGAAGGCATTTATTTTTATTACAAAGCTGGATATTTTTGGTTTATGACCACTGTGGTTGAAGTAATATGGCCACTCTCGCCAGGAGCGTGTGTATGTTGACATCTACACGCCACCAAATCAGACATAAGATAAACAAGTGGAGTTCAGTCAGCTGGGGGACTTGTTTTGATCGCAATGACTGCGTCCCGCAACAAGTGTGCCCCGCCCCCTTTCAGAACAAAACACATTCGTTCAGTACAGACACCATTTACCAACCTACTAGATGTATACGAAGTGGGACGTCATGGGTAAGACGACGTATATCATCGGCATTATTACCTCTCAATTAAATAACAGTAAAACTTAAATTAATTCACTGATTACTTTATTATTCATGTTTCAGATAGGGACAGTGTATCTCCCGAACAGAGAAATTTACATTAACATGGCAGTGGTTTCCCGGAATGCGTTTTCAACGTCACATCATGCAAATGGGTAAATAATTATTATGAAACTATAATACATGTAGAGTATGTGAGACAGTTATGTGACATTCATATTTATCGGACATTTTGGCGTGGGGTGCGTGGTAGTCTTGTCATACATGTAGGAAGACAATTTTTAACTGGATAAAACATAGTGCTAAACTTCAGGTTTGGATGAGTAATTGGGGTTAGGATTGGAAATAGGGTGTAGGTATTGTAAAATGTTTGGTTAAGTTTCTTTATGGTTTGGGGTTTGAAACATCATTAAAATAGATATAATTATTTACAAGCACATTCAAAATGGCGACATATATTAAAGCTTCCACCCCTGTTGTACACCAATGCCAGAACCTTTTGGTGGACATCTACGTGTGGAGATTTAGTCTTGCAACACACATTGTATACACATCACTGTGAATGCTGCTACGTCTGAAACTAACATAGACATAAACATTATGTACTTATTGTCACTGTGCTATTGTGTAATACGCCTTTGATTAGTATTGAGTATATTACATAAAATTGGCAATATGGAAGCTGCTCATATTTGTATTCCTGGAAATCAATCAATTCAAGAATAGTAATATCTATAAAGATACTGTAAAATACTGTATTTTCGTTGGAATTAATTTTTGCTATTTTCGCTGAAGGAATGATACAGTGAAAATAAAATCCAGCGAATATACATGTACCTTTTTTCCTATATTTTACATTCAACACGTCAAAAATCAGTGAAAATAAATTCCATACAAAACATTCAAAAATTCTTTTCAGCGAAAATTAATTCCAGCTAAAATAAAGTATTCTACAGTATTTAGGACTTACTAACAATTACAATTTATACGATAAGTGTTTAACAAGTTGAATATCAAATATAAGGTGTTATTCTGACAGATTGTCTTTTTATTTCAGGCCGCTCACTGATATGATGTATGAACAAATTGCTGATAAAACTCTGGATATTCTTGCTGAATATTTTGAAACTCTTGGTGATGTTGAACAAGTGTCTGAGGAATATGATGTCATGTTTTCTGTAGGTCTAGCAACCGTCAACACTCTACTCTTGCACCCATGTCGTCATGGCAGATTCAACTTTTCTTGCCTTTCAGCAAAGTAAACCTGCATGCATATATATTTCAGGGAATAAGAAATTCAGTTCAATAATAGCAAAAACAATTATAGAAAAATACATTTAAATATGCAAATGGTTGCACCAAAATACGATGTTGTTTACACAGATTTTGATAAAAAAAAGTTATCAGTATTTTTGATGGGAAGAAGCAACAGAAAGCAATGAAACAAACAAACATAAATGACGTAGTGGTTAAATCAAACTATCATCAAAATAGAATCAAAACTAACAAATTCCCCCTTTTTTGCCACTGGTGAGCAAGACTTTGTGTTTAGTGCATTAACATTATATTTATTTATACGCAATTGAAACAAATACGTTGAGACACACATACAAGTGATAAATTCAGATAAATTTCAATGTTATTGAACATTTTGTCACCGTGGCATTTAACTGTTGAACCATTAAACACGTAAAGCGTGGTAGTCATTTGCCACATTTGTGTTGATAAACATTGATTTACCCATAATCCAATGCGCTCCTCAAATGGAAATCACAAGTATGAGGTTTGACCTGGGCGCGACTTGCACTGATTACCGCCGATGACTTCTTCAGTGCCTTTCAATAACATGAAAATTACCTAATTAAAGCTTGGAAACATCTCAGTTCGTACTCGTTGATCTGTGCAACAGTCAAAGTCGCCATCTTTGTTTATATGAGACCCATATATCTCGCACATGCGCAAATATCTTCATAACCTAAGAGGTAATAGGCAGCATTTTTCAAAATATTTTTCAGTCTGGTGTGTTGACAGTTATTGTTGGAGGAAATACTGGCACATATGTTATCAACAAACAAACTCCTAACAAACAGATATGGTTATCATCACCATCAAGGTAAATAAATGTTCTTAATTTACATTTATGCATATTTTAGCACAAATAGCTGTAGCAATATTTTGTGTCAAAATTTATCTACAAGTATTCGTTTTAGTATTTATAGTCAACAATATGTGAATTTCTTTTGGTGCACTGATTTTAGCATTTGTTTCCATAGAGAATGAAAACATATTTCATATTAAAACCTACTAAAAAATATTGTTAATTTTTTAATACTTTTAGACATCAAAAAATACCTTGTAAGATTGCACCATATGTCACCAAGTAAAATATTGAGGTATTGAGATATATCTGTTCTATAGAAAGAAAACCACAGTCTATCATGATAGAGGGACTGTGAAAAAAACATAGTAAAATGCCCCAAAACAGACAAAACATGCTATTTTCGCTGAATTTTATTGATTTTCTCAGAACTGAGTATAAGTAACATGATATATCAAATATGTAAAAATAAAGAAAATGACAATATTTTTACTTTTGTGTAGCATTCCAACTGAAGCCCATAACACTGTTTTTCTGATGAACAAAACAGTTCCTATTGTGTATATTTCATATATATGTATATTTTGTCTTTCTGAAATAAGGTAGGCATCTGTTGCCAGCTAATCCATACAACAACAGTACCAGAAAAGTATTTCCTTCCCTACAAATTTTCATATGTTTTTTTTCTTTTTCAGTGGTCCCAAAAGATATGACTATATAAATGGACGATGGATTTATAAACATAGTGGGGAGGCATTACATGATTTACTTTCTCTTGAATTCTCAGCAATACTGAATAGAAATATTGACTTCTCACACCTTGAAACTAAAGAGATAGATGACTCACATAGCGACAACAATTGACGATGATGAAGAGCGGACTAAGAAATGCATCATTGTGATATCAAGTCAGTCAGTATAATGTTTCTACAGTGAAGGATAGAAGGCCATGAACTTTATAAAAATATTAAAAATATACATTTTTTATAAAACCAAATTGATGTTTGAATTCAAATTGACCAATCCAGAAATGGTATTGTGACATCATCATTAGTTCTAATTAATATTAATGATATAGTTTAACATTATCCAGTCTGCAAGTGCCTCATTTTGAATATGTGGGCTGTCACTGTTGAAATGTTATGTGAAAGTATGCGTGTGTTTTGTGGTTGTAGACAATGTTTTGTGTATGTGTCGCTGTGACTGTTACACTGATAACCAATTATCAAATAATGTACAGACCTAATCAGTTTTTGGTTCTTGTGCATATTAATGACCTAATTTGCATATTAATTATCCAATTTTGAGCATTACTTGTTTCTCAAGAACCATCGAACATCTTCAATGAAACAAGGTACATAGATGCTCCGCAATAATGATCTATACTCTCAAATTTATTCCTTTGCTTTAATATT